GAGGAAGGGATGGATCAAAGTGTCAAAACCGAGAAAAGTATACAATTAATAAAAAGGATAACAATTTTTCTTTATTAAGAACTTTATTTTTTAGATTAAGTTTTTCTAAATACTACTTTTTAGTAAATGCTTAATATACTAGTATGAATCCTGTGCGATGCACGGGTAGAAGATATTCATTAATATTTACAAATTAAAAATTTTCATTAAATAATATTTACAAATTAAAAATATGAAATCAATATGTAATACAATTTACCTATATTAATTTACTAAAAATGTTATATATAAATTTAATTTGTGCAAAATTATAAAAAAAATGTTTATTTAAAATTAGTACACAACTCGTGCGGTTCACATACCTGATGGTAAATTATATTATATTCATTTCAAAATAAGTGTGGTTTAAAAAATTTTATTCAGAAATTCAGTTTGACTATAATGTGATTCCATAAAATAATTATTTTGATAAAATTTGATCATATATTTAAAAATGTATTTGAATAATAAGTATAAATAAAAAATTATACTGTTCCATTAGTTAAAATGAATTTATTTTTGTATAAACTATCTAAATTAAAAAATTTAAGTAGTTGAGTAACTTATTAAACTATAAATAAATATTGACCCGTAAGTTATGAATAATTGTTTATTTGATTATTAATTTTAAATATTTTTTTAATATATTATATACCAAATTTAAATCATGCAATTAATAATGGTAATGGGTGCAAATTTTGTCAATATACTAAATTTATGCAACTAATAAATATTTAAAAAAAAAACTTACTACTAAAGGTATAATTGAATTTTTTGCGGGATTTCAATTAATATTTTAGAAAAATACAAACCTTTTTATATATATAAAGATTGTAATAATATTATGGGTTAACTATTTGCTTAACTAAGAGCCACGATTTGAATAGTTAAGGGTTCATAAAAAATAGTTTTTTATGTGCTTATTAATTAGTTCTTTAATTATTCAGCCGCAACTACCATAGTTGATTTTTAAAAGACATCATAAATTGTGTGCTTGGAGTAGTGAAGGGATCTAAAAAATGAATTTGTTATATGTTTTTTTTTAAATGCGAAAAAAAAGTTATCAAGATTAGTAACTTTTAAAAATTTAGGCGGGATTTTAGTTTTTTTTTTTAGGTAAATACAAACCTTATTTAAAGTAAATCAATTATTTATGTAGCCTTGCATTTAATTTTTAAACATAAACAAATGAAATCAATTTACTGTTTTGGTGATATTATATAATCACAATCTAATTATCAAACATAAGTTAATGAATTTTAATTTCAATAGCAATTAACTGGAATAATATTATGGGTTAACTATTTGTTTAATTCAGAGAACAATTTGAGTAGTTAAGAGATCTTAAAAAATAATTTTTGATGTGCTTATTAGTTCTTCAATTATTCAACCGCAATCACCATAACTGATTTTTAAAAGATAACACAAATTTTACTATTTGAGTACTTAAGGGATCTAAAAAGTGAATCTTTTATGCGTTTATTATTTCTTTAATTATTCAGCCGCAATTACCATAATTGAAATTTACCATAATTAAATTTTAAAGTATGTTGAAATTCGAATTTAACAATGCAATGGCAGGGTTTTTGCAAAAGAAAAAAAAAACTGCCTTTTCAAATGAAAAAAAAAGTAAACAAAATTATCAAGAATATTAACTTTTAAGTTTTTTAGGCGAGATTTTAATTGTTTTTCATGTAAATACAAACTTTTTAATATATTAATATATATTATAAATACTTTAAAAATATTTGTTTTTTCAAAATTTATAACAATAAATACTATAAATGTTTTAAAATGAAATTTCTATTTTAAAATTGGGATAGGAGTTATATTTTTTCAAGTGAATCAATCCAAAATCTTACAATTTGAGTAAATATATCATACTCTTTTGTCTTGATAACATTTTCTTCCATTTTGAGTAAGGAAAATATTTTTCATTCTTAAACAATCGAACAAAAAAAAAAAACCTACAGTTCATACTTTTTTTTAATTGCACGAAACAAAAGCAATAGATTCTTTGAACAATCAAGATATACCCAAATCAGTTCAACACACAATCAATTTTGATGTAATTGTAAGACCATAATCCCATTAGCAATCCAAGCTTATCAGAAAATAGCCTGTAAAACCCGCTACCTAAATTGTTTTGGAAGCAACCCTTGTTTAGGACCACCGGTCGCATCGTCGGAACCCCCTGGCCGCTGGCCATCACTCGATCCCAAGCACACTGCCGCTTATAGAGCCACAGCCAGCCGCAGAACCCCGACGCCATTCACCAAAGCGCCACCTTCGATAGCAGCACCCCGACTGTCCGCCGCCAAAGCCCGACGGTCCCCGTTAGCCATTCATGCCTCGAGTCAACTCGTCACCACACCACACACAACCCGAGCCTAGCGGCTGCCACACGTCACCAACCCGCCAAGCCGCCATCAAGTTTCGCTCGCCTCCAAGGTTTCCGAGCCGCAGCCGCAGCTTCAGCTGTTCGTTTAAAACCCACAGTTCATACCCTTCCTCTACAGAATCCCTTTCCAAACGCTGAAGATGGGTGATAATATTTCCGCTGACACCAAGCTACCAATTCTCGGCAAACGGAACATTCTTTGTCGCAATATATTAGATATT